CCCGACCTTGAGAAACTAGTCCATGTCTTTGTCACAACCCGATTGAACTATTGCAATGCACTCTATGCTGGGATCAGCCAGACCTCCATCTCACGTCTTCAGCTCATCCAGAATGCTGCTGCTCGGCTTTTAACCGGAACTCGTATGTCTGAACATATTACTCCAGTTCTGTCCTCCCTTCACTGGCTCACTGTTCGTACGAGGATAGTCTTTAAAATTCTTCTGTTGACCTTCAATGTTTAAATGGCCTCACACCCCTTTACCTCTCTGAGCTTCTGGAACCTTACGTTCCCTCTGGGACTCTGACATCATCCGATCAGCTGCTTTTGGCTGTTCCAAAAACAAGACTGAAGCTCAGAGGAGATTGGGCTTTTTCAGTCATGGGCCCCAAACTCTGGAACAACCTGCCCCCCAACATCAGACAGGCCACTTCCCTTCCTCACTTCAAAATCCCTGCTTAAAACACATCTTTTCTTGCAGGCATTTCACACAGTGTAAATTGATCTAGTGTTTTTTAATCTGTGACCCTATGTTTTAAATGCTTTTTATTAATTCTTCAGTTATTATTCTTAGTGTATTGCGTATACAGTATATATATGATTTTTCTCTTTAATTTTACTCTCATTGATTGATTGTTGTTGTTGTTGTTAAGCACTTTGTTTACAGGTTCTGTTTTAAATTTGCTCTATAAAGTTGACTTGACTTTCCCACTTCCTGGTCCACAGTTTCTATGACCTCTACTCTTCTTTCTCTTTCATTCTCTTCATTCATTAGCTCCTCAAAGTACTCCTTCCATCTTCCTGTCACACTCTTCTCACTTGTTAGAATATTACCATTCCTATCTTTAATAAGCCTAACCTGCTGCACATCCTTTCCAGCCTGATCCGTCTGTCTTGCCAATCTGTACAAGTCCTTCTGGCCCTCTTTAGTGTCCAGTCTCCCATACAACTCATCAAACGCTCTCTGCTTTGCCTTAACTACTTCCCTCTTTGCACTACGTCCTATCTCCTTATATTCCTGTCATCTCTCTTCAGTCGTCTCAGTCATATTTCTTCTTGACGAATCTCTTTATTTGAACGGCGTCCTGCATTTCACTATTCCACCACCAGGTTTCCTTATCTTCCATTTCCTGTCCAGATGACACACCAAGTACCTTCCTACCTGTTTCCCTAATTACTATTGTTGTAGTAGCCCAGTCATTTGGAATCTCTTTCTTACCACCCAGAGCCTTTAACAGCTCCTCTCTGAATTTCTCGCACTCTTCCTTCTTAGGCTTCCACCATTTGGCCTTTGTCTCTGATTTTAATTTTTTTTCTCTTCTTCACAACAACAGTCATTCTACGCACAACCATCCGATGCTGTCTGGCCACACTCTCCCCTGCCACAACCTTACAGTCTCTAATTTCACTCAGGTTTCCTCTTCTACACAGAATGTAGTCAACCTGCGTACTCCTTCCTCCACTCTTGTAGGTCACTCTATGTTCCTCCCTCTTTTGGAAATAGGTATTGACTATAGCCTTTTCCATTCTCTTGGCAAAATCCACCACCATCTGTCCTTCCTAGTTTTTATTGTTAAGGGCAATGGGGGGCATAGGGGCTGTGGCTTTCCTGAAATCCACAATCATCTCCACTTTCTTCTGGGCATTAAGCTCCAGGTTGTTGTTGCTGCACCAGGTCACCAGCCGGTCCACCTCCCTCCTGTAGGCAGACTCATCACCATCCGAGATGAGCCCGATGAGGGTGGTGTCATCCGCAAACTTAATAAGTTTTACGGAGTCATGGCTGGAGGTGCAGCAGTTGTACAGGGAGAAGAGCAGAGTGGAAAGTACACAGCCCTGTGGAGATCCTGTGCTTAAAGTCTGAGTGTCCGAGACAACTTTACCCAGCCGCATGCACTGACTCCGGTCTGTTAAAAAGTCTGTGATCCACCTGCAGGTGGAGTCAGGTACATGAAGCAGGAAAAGCTTGTCCCAGAGCAGCGCAGGAAGGATGGTGTTAAATGCAGAGCTGAAGTCCACAAACATGATCCTAGCTTAGGTTTCTGGGGAGTCCAGATGCTGCAGGGTATACCATACCATACCATGGGGAGTGGTGGCGCAGAGGTTAGAGAGGTGGGCTTGTGATCCGAAGATCGCCGGTTCACGCCCCGGCCCCGACAACATCAAAATTGTGGGTGGGGTAGGTGAAACAACCACACTTGCCCCCACCCTCATTCGCCCCACTCTGGGCCCATGAGCAAGGCCCTTAACCCCACCATGTGCTCCCTAAAACAGGTCTCTCTTGAAAATGAGTTCTCGTGGCTCAATGAGACTAACCTGGATAAATAAAGGCTAAATGAAAAAAAAAAAAACGAAAAAAAACAATTTATTTATATAGCACTTAAAACAGCAACAAGGCCAACCAAAGTGCTGTACAAAAGAACACAAACATGCACAGCGGACAGGAAAACATAAAATAGAAATACAGATACAAATAGCAGCAGAAGCTAACTAAAATGGCCAACAGAGTAGAGAACAGACCGGACCAAAACAAATCACACCGTGTTAAAGGCAAGCGAATAGAAGTGGGTCTTCAAGCGAGACTTAAAGACTGAGAGTGTGAGAGCCTGCCGGACACTGGGTATGGTATGGTATGGTATAAAGTTTATTCATTGTAAAAAAGTACAAAACAATTCTACAACAATATAAAAAAAGATACAAAAGATTTAAAATGAAAGGCAGCAAAAAAAAGAAAAAATCTTATTACATCTGCCCCTTTTTTCAAACAATTATTTAAATCATAATAATTTTCAAGTAACAGAACAAAATGAATAACTGTAATTTTTCTAATTCTAATACAAAAAACTTGATGATGTGTCTATCTCTGCTGCCATCTGTGGATTTTAAGGACGCATATTTAATTGGATTTTTTATAACTAATTCCTACTGGTTCCTGCTGGTTCCTGCTTTTTGGATTCGGCTGGTTGCTGGTTTTATCTACCATCAAGGAAGTCGTCGGCGGCAAATTTGGACCCGATCACGCTCCTTGCCTTTATGATGGCTTGGTTCATGTCTCGAGTACCCGGACTCAAATGCTTTGGGCTGAATGGATAAGATCTTGGGGATTTTACTCAGTCACGTTCCAACGATGGGGCCATGTATTTTGGACAATTCGGAACCGAGTTGACCAACACAGACTCAAGGTAGATGTCATTAAGTTCTGCCTGTCCCCAAAACAACTGTGTGTTTATCTGAATTTGGCTCCCTTGGCTGGCCTTGAAGGCCACCTTATCTGAATTTGCCTGGAGAACATGTGATCTGACGCTCACCACCCCCTCCCAGAGGAATTTCCAACTGATAACCAGATGAAACCAGCTAATAAACTTTGTCATCATTTCAGGACTCTTGGATTCTCATAGTTGTTATTCTTGGCCATTCCTCGACATCCCTCGAGAATGTTTATGGATCTCACAAGAGGACATTGATTATTCCATCCTTATCAGAACTCTTACAGTGACCTTGAGAGCATTTATGAACATTGCTGACCGCTCTCGTCTCCCTCGTTTGTAGAATGTCTACGTCACTATGTGCTGTTTGTGCGAGGTGTTTATTTTAATATTAGAGGGGTTTTTTCTCAGGCTGGAAAAGAAGTCTGATATGTCATGAACCAGAGGCCGGATCGCAAACAACAACAACAACCACTGAGAGGGTTAAAAGATTTATTGTGAAATAAAGTAAAACTCTGGAGTAGGTCCGGTTCTGGGCTGGTTCCGATCTTCTGATTGGTAGTTCGTGATTGGGTAGTGTTGTAGTGGCGGGCTGCCAGTAGAAGTAGAACTGATGTTAAGGTCCACTGGAACGGAGTCCAACAGGCTTGCAACTAAAAGATAAAGGTTAGTAGATGCAGGGGGAAAGAGACTAATTGGGGAAATGAATCTGTGGGAATCAGATTCAGGGATAAGGATAAGTCCGTGATACAGAATGAGCTTGACCTTTAATCCGTGATCCAAACAAAACAGTCAGAAGGGAAAGGCAGAGTTCATACCGTGAAGTCAGTTGTTCAGCAGAAGTATCCAGTACGTGATCCAAAAAGAGAGTCAAAAAACAAGAGCATGAGTCGGTACCTGATCAGATGAGCAAAAGCAGACGAGGGCTGAGGCAAAAGCGTGGTCGTGGTCAAGGCAAGGGTCATGAACGTGATGAGTCAATCAATGGAATGCTGGAAAGTCTACTGCTGATGAGACAGGATAGAGAATCTGGCCCAGACTGAGAGGAATGAGTGAACTTAAGTACTGACTGGACCAGGTGGTGGAGCTGTGGGATAATGAGCGGTGACAGGTGACATGAGTTGAGTGATTACTGAGTGTGCAGCATGACAGAGGAGCTGACAGAGAGCAGAGCTATGACATGATAGGAATTTTTTCACCTCCAATTCCTACATGTGTTCAGTTAACCACTGTTTTTGTCTGTCCAAGCAGGTCTCACTTATAAATGAGTCTTTGAGGCTCAATGTGATTTATCTGTTTAAATAAAGGTTGAATAAAAAAAAGAAAGAAAACCAAACAGTGTGGTCTGAAAAACAAATATCCGAGAGCCTATGGCATAAAATTTCATGATCTACATTATCAAAGTTTTACCTGCTGACAGAAACTGTCGTATCTTATTAGGACTATGGAAACTATCTGAAAGTATTCATGGACAAATCTCACCATCTTGTTGTCCATTCTTATGTATTGTCTGTCTACATTGTTTGCTTTAGTAGATTTTTTTGATGACTTAAACCATGCCCTGTAAGGACATGGTGTGAGAGATCTTTTCTATACCTATGTTTTCTTCCCCTTTTCTATCCAAGCAACAAGGTCAGCACTTCTTAGAAGCTTCAGCTCCTGTACACTTCCGTTCATCTTTAGGACAGATGTACAGAATGCAATTTCATTGTACTTCACTGTGCAATGACAATAAAGCTTATTCTGATTCTGATTCAAGTTACCTTACATACTTGTGCTGATTTGTCTCCCACAGGTAGTGAAGATGATGATAGTGGTGGTATGTACATTTGCCATCTGTTGGCTGCCCTATCATGTCTACTTCCTGCTGCACCAGTTTTTCCCAAAGTTGTTTGAAGAAACCTTCATCCAGCAGTTCTACCTGGCCATTATGTGGTTGGCCATGAGCTCAACAATGTACAACCCCATCATCTACTGCTGCCTCAATGACAGGTTTGTCAGTTCTTGCACACATTAGCACAGACCCCTACCAGTGCAATATTCATTAAAATGAATTATTCAGAATCAGAATTCAGAATAATTTTTATTGGCCAAGATTGTGTGCACAAACAAGGAACTTGACCTTGGTTTCAAGTGCTCACAGTGTACAGACATCATTTATAACTTGTAAAACCTTATAGGATAAAATAAACGGCATGTACTATAATTGTCTAAAAAGGTTGAGTCAGATCCTCTGGACAGAATCTTATTTGTTGAAGCATTTCATCTTGTATGTAAATGTGTTAGTATATACAGCCATTTTTGAATACACTGAAATAAAAGAAAAATGAAAAAAAGAATGCAGGTTGGGATGATGTAAACATACTTTGATCAGATTTATTACAAGCTTTAAATAACAGCCATCATTCACAGATCATTGCATTTACAAGTTCACACTTATGCCCTCACCTGTCAGAAGCGCTGATCGTTCCGACTTCCTGAACTGAAAAAGTTAGTTTTGTAGAATCAACATGGTGCCAGCCTTCAACCACCCCCTCTCACTCTTCCAAGCCATTATCAACAGTGTAACTGCAGAGGGACACGTTAGGGAGCTGGTTGTGAAGATGGAGGCTCAAGACTCTCTAAGACACGTCACCGTATCATATCAAACCTTGAGGATAATAAAAACTATCTCTTGATGTCCCTTACTACCCGGTCACACCAAGACTGATTATTACATGGAACATTTTAATATCATTCACATCACAGTACAGCAGCAGAAAAATATGGAGCATGGCAAATAATATACATTAACTTGACATGCCAATTAACTGTTTCACATTAGAGTGTCGCACTCAGCTGCAAACTGCTCTAGCGAAAGCTGTAGATCACGATCTGATGAAGCCAATAGGACCACATCATCTGCAAAAAGCAGAGACGCAATCTTAAGGCTACCAAAACAGATCCCCTCAACACCTTGGTTGCACCTAGAAATTCTGTCCATAAAAGTTATGAACAGAATTGTGACGAAGGGCAACCTTGGCGGAGTCCAACTCTCACTGGGAACAAGCCTGACTTAATGCCGGCAATGCGGACCAGGCTCTGACACCGGTCATACAGGGACCTAAAAGCCCATATCAAAGGGCCTGGTACCCCATACTCCTAGAGTACCCCCCACAGGGTTCCTCGAGGGACGCGGTTGAACGCCTTCTCCAAGTCCACAAAGCACATGTAGACCGGTTCAGTAAACTCCCACGCACCCTCCATGACCCTGCTGAGAGTGTAGAGCTGGTCCAGTGTTCCACAACCAGGACAAAAACCGCACTGCTCCTCCTGAATCCGAGGTTTGACTATCCGACAGACCCTCCTCTCCAGAACCCCCGAATAGACCTTACCATGTAGGCTTAAGAGTGTGATCCCCCTGTAGTTGGAACACACTCTACAGTCCCCCTTTTTGAATAGGTGTACCGCTTTCGCCCCCCTGGGACGACAGATGGTGGACCTGAATCACCTCGAAGCCGTGCGGATGACATTCTCCATGGCCTCTTTAAACTCCTCCCATGCCAGAGTTTTTGCCTCAGCGACATCCCGAGCCGCATGTCACTTAGACTGCCAGTACCCATCAGCTGCTTCCAGGGTCCCACAGGCCAAAATGGCCTGATAGGACTCCTTCTTCAGCCTGACAGCATCCCTCACCGCCGGTGTCCACCACCGGGTTCGAGGGTTGCTGCCGTGACAGGCACTGACAACCCTGCGGCCGCAGATCTGGTAAGCCGCTTCGACAATGGAAGCACGGAACATGGCCCACTCGGACTCAATGTCCCCCACCTCCCCCGGAACATGTTTGAAGTTCTCTGTCTCACAGGAGACTCTGCCAGACGTTCCCAGCAAACCCTCACAATACGTTTGGGCCTGCCAGGTCTGACGGGCATCCTCCCCCACCATCGGAGCCAATTTTCCTATCTTATCAACATACTCAAAGTGCTTTAGACTACAATCTGTGCCCTCATTTACCCATTCATATAGCAGTCTACTTTATATTTACAAATAATATTAATAACAATAATAATAACAATAAAAATATAATTAACATTAAAACCACAGAGCTTCAGATAAAAATACATTCGCTGGTGAGTTCACATTCGGGTCAAAGGTCAGTTTGTCACAAAGAACAGTTCCAAGATAATTACATTGATGCAGCACCTCAACAGCTTCACTGTTTATGACCACAGGAGTGGGAACTGAAGAGTATTTTATAAAATCAGTGACCTTCTCCTTTGTCTTAGAAACATTTAAATTTAAAAAGGGAGACTCACACCATTCAGTGACGTCTCCAACCACAGGCCTGAGGTCTGGGTCATCACTGCTGAGAAGGAACAGGATGACAGAGTCATCATCAGCAAACTTTAAAATGTTATACTGTGGAAACTAGCTGTAACAATCGTTTTTATATAAACTTAATAAAAGGGATGAAAGAATGTAGGACTCAATGGAGGACATTGTTTTGGCTTTTGATGCAATCAGACATTAAACAAAAGTGTAGCGATATGGGATGTAAATATATTGTTAATTATCAGTTATAAGTTAAGCTCATAAGATATGCATGTATTATGCAAATAACCTCATTGTTTGGGCACCACCTCTCTCTTGGAGAGGAAAATCAGTCTCTCTTTACCCCAAAATAATGTAGTGAGTTCTTTTCTCGTGTTTAAAGGGTATCAAATCAGTTGATACACACAGATATGCCAAAATAATCACAAATTCAGTTGATTTTTTTTGTATTTTATTATAAAAATAATCTGAGATATATGATAAAGATTATGCATAACAAAAGTTAACTGAATAACAAATAGCATTGTATCAAAGGTCTAATTGATTATTCAAATTAGTGAAACTTATAAGGCAGACTTAGGACTGGTTTCTGTTTGTGAAGTAGTTAAAATTGTGTCTAAGGTGAGCTAAGTTTGTCTGCTATGTTGTGATGTAGGTTCACCAGAAAGGCTCTGAAAAGTCTCTCTCCTACCAGGATGTAGATGGTCAGAGCATGGTTCCGACAGCTGCTTAAATGGTACCAGCCTCAGATGTTTCAGTAACTGAGAGGCTGAAGTCTCCTCAAAGTTCAACTGCCGTTAGAGGGACGAAGGTCCATATGGTATTCAGCTGGGATTTACCACTCTGCGGAGTGATAGTTACCTGGTAGATGTGAGAGTTCCACTACCTGCAGCTCCTCCTCTAATTGGCTGCTGATTACCACCAGCTGGCAGCCATCCATCTGAAGAGCTCCTGCTACTATTTAAGGCTGCAGTCCAGTGTGACTCATCGCTGGAGCATTGTACCCTATTTGGTATTTATGCTTTTGGCCAGTAAATGAAAAGTATATGAGAAATACTTACCTTTGTTTCTGTGTCTACAGTCCTCATGTTTTCTTGGCTCCTGTTTGGATGCAGACTCCCATGGTTCTGGTTCATGTTCTCCGTGCCTCGCCTTCCAGCCACACGCCTGTCCTTCCTGTAGTGTTCCGCCTTCCTTTGGATCATCCCTGGTGACTTACGTCCACGCCAAATTCTTGCTTCACCATCTGTAAGGAAAAACAAAACAAAAATATTAAGAACTACAACTGGACTCCACTTATTCAACTCTCTTTCCCAGGATCTCCAAGAGATGACCCACTGTAAATAGACACTGTAAATAATAAACATCACTACTTTTTTTCTAACCAAGTCTTGTCTTTTCTGGTTTCGCTCCATCTGGGTTCCTCGAGTCTTGACAGTAGACAGCTCTCGGGTTAATGCCTGGTTCTGGTTCTGCTGGATAACTTCTGTATATTTTGTCCCGTCTCTGCTCAAAGCCGTCTGCAGAAAAGATGCTTCTCTCCTTTCTGAGGTCAAGTGCAGAAGCTGGGTTTCTTCTCTCTCCATTTCTCTGTGCAGAAGCATGTTGCTTCAGAGCATCTCTTTAAAGTGTGTGTTTTCTCAAAAGATTTCGTAGAAAAAGTGCTACTTACTGTCTGTGTGGAACAGAGATGAAGGTCCACCTCTCGGAAGAGGTGGTCCTAACTCTTGGCCTATTAAATAAATCTAGTCCCTTTTCTCTGCCTTCCTTTTAAAAGAGAAAATGAGACAAATGCATTAGCTTAAAGAAACATTACTTAAAACACACATGTTCATGAATAAACATTCAGCATTGAATAAAACAGAAATTACATCTTTGTATTAATAACATGCAATGTTTTAACAAAGGTGTCAGGTCAAATCAGGTCTCTCTTGTAAATGAGTCCTCGAGGGTCAATGGGATTACTTGTCTAAATAAAGGTTGAATGAAAAAAAAAGGTGTCGCTGTCCATCTCCTAAAAAGGAATGTCATTAAACAAAGGGTTCTTATGGTGTTATCTTCATGGGAACGAGTCTGGAAGGAATACTCCTTTTCGATAAAGGAAGATATCAAAGTAGCGAGTTCAGATGTTTCAAAATCTCCGAGGTCATTAGAACAAAATCTTTCATTAAAAACGATCTGTCCATTTCGTTTGTGATTTAAGCTGAATATTTGTAAAACAATGTCTGTTTGTTCCCAAGGGAATAGATTAATCTTATTTTAACAGTTTCAAAAACAAAACACAAGAATGACATTTGTTTGGGATGAGGTGAACTCTTTTTGTTTGTTTGAGCTGAGGTGGTGTTTTTCTGAGGTGTTTTTTCCCCTACAAAAGCCAACAACAGATGCCAAAATTATTCAGTATAAGGGTAATAATGGATATGAACAAATGCAGATGCATTAAAGTGAAGTTTTATTAAACTTGGGACCATTGTCCCAATGGGATTGGGATTTACCTGTCTAAATAAAGGTTGAATGAATGAAAATTGTCTTGTTAGAAGGGGAACCTTAACGCCAGACTCAAATCTCTGTATAATTCAAGCAGAAGAAGAAATCTTTTATTTGGCTCCATTAATGTTTTTTTTTTTGTCAAATTTAACGTGTCCTTGTTTATTTAAAATATTCTTACAGCATGATACTGC